CATGATTGAAATACTCACTCGTGGCGGCAGACGCCTACAGAATGGAGCTGACAGATTGAGAAGACTGGAAAAACTGTCCAAGTAAGACACTAGGGCAACAAGGAGCATTAGTGAACGTTTTAAGCATTTGGGGGCTCCACGGTATGAGACACTTGAAGAGGTATCGTGAATGGGGCCACAGATAATATTCAAATTCCTGTCAAGCGCAGGCATCTTAAAGGATGATTCATCCTGGTATTTCACAGAACCAAAACTGTTCTAAATATGTGACAATAATAAAATGTAGCAACGTCATTCCAGTTCGGAGTTCTCACAGTCGCCTCAGTGGACTGTACATGATGAACTGAGGACGTCTAAATTTTGATATACTACTTAAGAAAATGATTGACGAAAAGGCACCGGTTTCATGAAGACGTTATCGAAATTGCAACAATCGGACTACAAAAAGATTTCCACAATCTCGTATTTATTCCAGTTCCTATTGAAAGCTCCTCAAAAGAATGGAAAGATATTTAGCAACAATGAAGAGGCAATCGCTCCAGCAGAAGATCGCATTAATCAGTGTATTGCTCTCGATGGTACAATTATATCGAAATTACCAAAAATGGATACTGAAAGATGTTCAAAAAATTACAAAAAACAACAAAAAAAAGTACAAAATAATCCTCTTTTAGGTCTACTTCACATCAGATAATATTTTTAGCTTCTTCCTGTCTCCGAGCACTGATATTTCCAAAGCTAGCTGACAGAAACATCAGAGATTGTGAGTGAATGTTAACCTCCCAGTTGCCTGGCTTCTCAATCAACGAATTAGAAATATATAAGCCAGATATGAAGCAGAAAGTGAACCAAAATTGCATAATCTCACATTCATTTCGATTTGGGCTCAAGATATAAAGACAGAAAAGCTTCTAAACAAGCCAAATAGCGACATATTAAGACACAGAGCCATATTTATGGTTTAGAGGACTTTGGCTCTATGAATAAATAAAGCTCAAACAGTTCTTCATAACTTCTTAAGTATGTCCTGGTAGTCCATGACATGACTTTATATGTATTTCTGACTCGAAGGCGTTTTTATGAAATATATCAATCATGCAGAAGAGCTTTAAGAGAGCTTAAAGCTGCACCCTTCATACATAACAGCAAAAACGCAAACCATAAACGTTAGAAAAAGTTCGGCAAACTACCTTTTTCGAATTTTTAAATATTGCGCAAATCACCGAAGACCGTATCCACAGAAAGCGTAACCTCTGATATGGAGATCACATGAACTGAGAGCTCAAATAAAGTTCAATTTCTCATTTCAATATTTACTAGCTTATGAAGTCAAGGGAATCTCTGCAAGCAGCATTTGTCAAGAAGTAAATATTTTCAGAGCAGCAAAACTTGTATGAAATCTCTAGTAATATATAAGCCAAGACTAACTTTTTATATATACCTGGTATGTCTCCTTAAACGCATTTCTCGTCTTTGGTCATCAATTGAAGTTCACCGAATTTCACCAATGCATAGCGTCACTGGCAAATTGCCTTGAACAACAACAATGTAACGAATGTATTTTGAATTACGGCATAATTTGTGCTCACACACACATACGCTTACCTACATACATATTATATATACTTACTTGCATCCACCAGCAAATTGGCGAAGAGGACATTCCATTCGATTTGCAACAATGCCAATTCACAGTTAGGTATTCCATTGAAGCTGTTGATTACGTGTATGATTTGGCTGAAATGGCAGTCCGTCTGACCGTCGCACAGCTCAACAGGAATTGTTGTATATATATGTGTGTGTGTGTATGTGTTGGAGGAAAGGATGGGCTGACAAACAGATGGTTGACTGGTTGGCTGATGAATTATTGCGATCACGTCCATAGCTCATATGTATGCATGTGTTTTTCCGCAAAATGGCCAATTGTAAATTTAAATCAGTTTGACATCCGCGTCGGCAACAGGAAATGAGGACGCTCTTCGCTATTTTGTCGGCCGCCGCAAAATGTTTGATGTGGCTGCAGGATTTAGCGACTGCTCGCTGGCGTTTTTTCGCTGTTTTTCCCTGTTGTTTTGTTGTTGCTTTCATTTGTTGTTTTTATGCTTCAATTTTTGTTCGCCTGCACGTGAGTTTAATTTTTGGCCTTGGGCCACACTCCACATCAGCCCTTACATCGGCTTACATGCATATTTACCACTCTCTTAAATGTGTAAATGCCGCAAAATGGCGGTTTGTTAAAATTATTCTCATTAGCATTGCGTTTACCCACTTTTGTTGTATTTTATATTTTTCGTAGTGTGCAAGTTATTAACCCGAGGCGGGAGTTACCTTTTTTGTTGGGTTTCCATTGTCTACTTTTTATACTCGTTATTTAATTTAAGACTCATTTTGTAAATACTACAATAAAAGCAATGGCAATTGAGAGTGGGATAAGGTTTTTTAATTCAGATATGGTTATTTGAAATAGTCGAGTTCAAGTATGCCATATCGGCGGATGTCCTCATCAGAAACACGGAGTGGGTCCCGCGTGTGCTTGCAGAATTTTGGTCAATCATCAAATCTAGCATTACAATGTCCTACAACTCCGAGGAAAGAAGTTATGTCTTCTGGAAAGTCTCACTTCCAAAGCTATCGAGCTTCTACCAGCTTCCCGTTCGAATGGCATTCACATGATCGCTCTACGAATCTTTCCTATTTCAAATTGTTAAGATTTTAGGGAAGGGCTAGGTCGAATCGAGATACCTCTTCAGTAACCATTCCAGTTGTAGTAATTGCCCTAGTACATTACTGTTGGACTTTAATACAACTTTAAAAAACTGTTTTGATAATCAGTTGGTATCTGGTTCAGACATTAAGGTGGAGGTATAAGAACCTCCCAACCAAACTCTGGTTGCTTTTGGCGATTCCCTATTAATGTTTGTAGTTTGACATTATCCTCACGAAACACAATTTCTTCCTTACTGGCCAAAACTGGCAGCATCTTAGCGATTTCCTCCTATAGACCAGTAAAAGTCTCAGTAAATATGCAGCAAAACTGGTAATCATATCTGTCTAACGCCATGTGGCAAACCAGATCGGACTAATACAATGCGGATTCGGATTACTAAATCCATCTATTTCTCCAATCAATACGAGTATAGTAGAGTCATTATTGCACAGCTATGCGCACCTTGGTTGAATTTATATAGAAATTTTCTTAAAAATTCTTAAATTTTGGATTCCTTAGACCATTATCACGATTCCAATATTAAATCCAAAAATCCAATAATCCAAAACAAAAATGTCCGAATGTCTCGAAATTCGATCACCATATGTATATAGGAATACGCAAAGTACACTCACATATATGTATGTATATGTGTATGTACCTGCAATTTGCTTACTTTCGTTTTTTCTACATATTTTCCTATAATCAAATTTCAGTTATGCTTTGCAACACGCTTAATACCTGCAATATGCAATGTAGCAAATTTTGTTGTCGCGCCATATGTGCATGAATTATGAGCCGCCATGGCGTATGCGCAACACATTAAGACATTTAACACGACCCTCGCCAAGGCATAGCATAGGAGTAAATGTGTATACATTTCAAAGCACATAATGTCCCTCTGTATGTAGGTAATGTAACCTCGGCATTTAAATGAAATTAAGTGGAAAAGTAATTATTGAAAATATTTGCTTTTAAAGTATGAGTCTGCTAATTTGAACTTTAACTCATTTAATTTGGATTGCGGAAAAATATTTTGCAATGGTGGATTATATTCGAAATTTGTGAATTTTTTTTTGAAAGTTCTATTAAATATTCAATTCGGTCACATATTTCGGCGATTCCAAATTTTGAAAGATATATATGTATATAGATCTTGTTAACCCAATATCAGATTGATCCCAGATGGAAGGTTCTACCTGGCATCAGTATTATTAATTCTGAATTTACCTTAACAAAGTCCACATCACAGTACTGTCACAAAACCTTAAAAAACTAAAACTGCTGAGAGATTATCCAACATTAGATATCAATTTTACTTTTATCTATACAAAATATCTCATACGGTATTCCCAAATATATATAATTTAAAACTCTTACCAACAAAATCCGAAAATCTGAGGGCCGAGGGAATTTTTCGGCATCAAAACAAATTTTCTTCTCAATACTTTGCAGAACCAAGCCTTACTGAGCCGCTGATCAGTTTAAGTTATTCCAAATGATAGTCTCTATTTCAAAAATATCGCCTTCTTTGTCTGCATCTAAATTTAAGGGAATTTTCTAGGGAAAGTCTTCGTTAGGACTTCTTCTTCATGCACACCGCTTACCAGGTTATAGCCGAGTTTACAACAGCGCTCGCAAAGTCGTTATTATTTTCGCAGTTTGGCACCGTTTGAATTCCAAGTGTAGCCAGGTCCTTCTTCACCTTTCTCTGCTTCCCCCGATGGGTACTGCGTCGAATACTTTCAGAGCTAAAGTGTTTTCGTTCATTCGAACGTCATGTCCTAGCCATCGTAGCCCTTTAATTCCTTGAATTATGTTAATGTCATCGCAAAAGACCATAAGTCTTCCGCAGAAGCTCTCTCTTGAAAACTCGTAACGTCGACTCATCAGATGCTGTCAGCGTCCATCGCTCTGCACTATAAAGAAGAACGGGAATAATGAGTGACTTATAAAGTTTGGTCTTTGTTCCTCCAGAGAGGATTTTACTTCTCAATTGCCTACTCAGTCCGCAGTAGCACCTGTTGGCTAGAGTTATTCTGCATTGGATTTCTAGGCTGACGGCTCGTAGACGTACTTTCTGATACTGACCGAACTTTTGGTATTGCTCAACGCCAATTTAAAGAGCCGTATTAGTTTTGTCGTTCAGAGATAAATCCTTTTCGTTCGCTCCAATTATTTTTAAAGGTCTCAGACCAAAGCTTTTTAGGTGTAAACAGAGATATACATTTCTCTATCACAGAAGTTCTTTCCCACATCAAGATTCATAAATGATATTTACTCTCTCTTCCAGATATCACTAGAGTGGAGCAACGACGCAATGTTGTCAAGTGGAATGCCAAAAATAACAACATCAACAACAACAAAGCAACTACTAATGAAGCCACAACTGGCAAATATGTAGCACCATTAACAACCATTGGTGGACGCTCCCCGGCCGAAGATGGCAAAGTCATATTCTATGCTCCACCAGCTGGTGGACTCAATGCCAATCAAACTTCTACTCAGGCGCCAACCTTTACGATCAAACAAGAACCAACATTGCCGGCGTTTTATCGCGAACGCAGTATCGAGGAGACCGAAGCCGCCCACGATCTACTCTCACTATCACAAAGTCTACCGCCACTAACACCGCCTTGTGTCGTCACCATACTACATCAGCAGGAGGCGTCGACTAATCACAACCACAACAACCATAACACCAACAACAATAACAGCACAATACAACAACAAACTCACTATCAACCACAAATACAACCAAACACAGGCATCATGCATGAAATATCCAGTGCTTCCAAACAGCAAAGAGCCGGCGTCGTGGCACAACCGCAACTCGCACCACCACCACTTTGTGCGGCTACAATTAATGCAGATAACTTTACTATATTCACGGTGGAAGAGATTAAAACGTCCACACATCGACCAGCCGCACACGGACAAGGTCCAGCAAAGATACGTTACATCAGCAGCGGTAGCAGCAGCTCCTACGACAGTCACGCAGGCGCAAATACGCCAGACAACTCGGAGAATTGCTCGCCACTAACGCCACCAAATTCCGATCATTCATCCGACATAGACATTGATATGTCCTCCTCATCGGAGTCGGGTCACTTCAATTCCAACTATCAACCTACACTGAAATTGTGGATCGACGAACCGACGGCCGCCTATACAATGCGACGCACTTCCACCAACGCAATAGCTACCGATGATGCGTTCGATGCGAAGTCCACTCACACCGCCGCCAAGTTGGGCCTTAACATATTAGATGGGCGCACCAAAGCGAGCCGTTGCCACAAGGAGCCAATCGAAACGCACACAACCGGCAACTACGGCACGCCCGCCACCGACATGGACGCGTATGTGAAGAAGAAACGCGGTAGCTACAAGTGCTCCGAATGTGGCAAACAATATGCCACATCGAGTAATCTGTCGCGCCACAAGCAAACGCATCGCTCACTCGATTCGCAGTCGGCGAAAAAATGCAACACTTGCGGCAAAGCTTACGTCTCAATGCCCGCACTCGCCATGCATCTACTCACGCACAAGCTCTCGCACAGCTGCGACATCTGTGGCAAACTATTCTCACGCCCTTGGCTACTGCAGGGCCATCTACGCTCACACACCGGCGAGAAACCGTACGCGTGCTCACACTGTGGCAAAGCTTTCGCCGATCGCTCCAATCTGCGTGCGCACATGCAAACGCACTCGATTGACAAGAATTTCGAATGTAAACGTTGCCACAAGACATTCGCACTGAAGTCGTACCTAAACAAGCATCTGGAGTCGTCATGTCTCAAGGATATGATGGGCATGTCTAGCGAAGAGGCGGCCGACTTGTACGGCGCGGATGGGGATGGTGATGGTGAGGGTGAAGGCGAAGGCGAAGGCGAATCGATGACAGCGCAAAGCAGTGATGATAATGACGAGGATATAGTCGTCGCATAGATGCCGTTAGAAATCTGTTGAGAGTCGGCAATGTAAGACAGCCGCAATTAGCAGCATATGTGCCAGGGTGAGTGCAAAAGCTTAGTAGTGATGTAAAAGCTTGTTTTTAATGCGTAAGCTTTTTTCTAATGTGAAAGCTCTTCCTAAATACAGGAAAGCATACAATTTTTACGAAATCCAATTGTAAAGTATATTGTAAAAGTAGTTTTTCTATAGTAAGAAGTTTGATAGCTAAAGCAAAAGTAGAAAAAAGTGAAACGAAATGATATAAGAGTATAAGAGAGTGACGTGAAAGCCGAAATGAAAGCTAAGTGAAAGCTGTAGATTTTTTTTTTTCGCAAAAACGCAATTAAACAACAATACAAAACCTACCAACTTTAAGTAAAAATCCCATGCAACGAATATTATGGAACATAAGTAGAAATTCTATATATACATACATA